TTCCCTTATATTCCCTTACAATTGGGCATTATGCATGATGCAAATCACCAAAGAATATCAGTAAGAGATGACATAGGTGATTGACTGATTTAGAAAATTTCAGTGCCACCTCTCCAAAGGACATGCTGAAGGACATACTTACAAAGTGAATTGTGCAGACCCCACGCAGACACCATCTAGATATGATGACACAGAGAACAGCACATTTTTACAGTTCCCTTAACCCAGGGCTGCACCTTCAACTGACACACAGACACTGATTCCCCACAAGCAGCTGTGCCGCCCTCGCTCTTCCATTTGCCCCAGTTGCACTGGTCAATTTCACACTCTTCGCTGTGCAGCTGCATTTTGACTCGTATCTCCCCCCAATTTCTCCCCGTGTCTTCTCGATCTCAAAAAACAAGGATCGAGAAGATGCAGGGGAAATCAGGGAAAGATGCGGGCCAGGCAGCGAATAGTGTGAAATTGACCAATGCAAATAGAAGAGTGAGGGCAGCACAGCTGCTTGTGGGGAATCGGTCATATCCTTTGATGACGAGTTATGTATACTTTGGAAAATATTCCATTTTTAAAATTAGTAATGAATTACTATAACATTTCACAAATTAACAGCAAATACTTTTTTAAAAAGAGTCAGATGCTAAAGGAGGTTGTGGTAAGTAGGCAGCAGGCCAATTCTTCCTGACTGGAGATGGCTCTCAGTAAGGGATGGAATGGGCGGCAAAAAGGGCCCTGGCCCACCCTTGGACAAAGGTAGACAGAGAAAGAAGAGGCTAACTCCGACCACTCACAAGGCTGGAGCCACCATGCACAGACCTGAGGCAGCTGCTTGCTTGGTGCTCAGGTAGTCACAACATGGGGGCAGCCCGCCAGGCCATCAGTGGCCTTACTGGCTGACCTGTCCCTGTCTGCAGCTACAGAAGGTGGCCAGCTTCCTATGCTGGTACGTCTGCCCTTGAATCTATCTGAACCTTGAATTCAAAAACAAAAGAACTTTCTAAACTGCTAGTTCAGCTAAATGAACTAGAATGATACAATATCATGTGGAGGGCAGGCAATCTAGTGCTTCGGAATGCTACTGGGCATGAATTCGAGTACAATCAAGTTACACTAGGACCAATTATGCTGAGGCAATCCTCCTGTCCCCTGTATGGTGGAACGGCACAGCTTAGGAGAACGTACAATACCTGAACATCCTGCAAAAGTAGGCAAGTGCAGCTTTGATTAAAAAAAGAGTCTCCTAGATAAGAATGAACAACCAATTAAGAGAGCACATAAGCAAACAAAAGAATGTCAAAGCCAGACAAAAACAAAAAAAGGAAGATTGTGGCACTTTAAAGACTAACAGATTTATTGCAGGCACAAGTTTGTGTACATCTGACAAAATGGGCTCTAGTCCGCGAAAGTTGATGCCACAATAAATCTGTCAACATTTAAGGTAGCACCAGTCTCCTCTTTGTTTCTGCGTAAGAAGCACAGCTACACCTTTGGAATTCAGAAGCAAACCGTTATTAACCATTCCCTGAACAGAGGAAACTTTTCTTGGGTAGGTTACAAAAGGACACTAACTACTGAACGGCATTCTATAAGACAGAAAAGAACATGAAAAATTCTCTATTTAAAACTTACTACAGGTAAAACTGGTGCATTCACTGCCTTTGTGTAAGCTTTACAGCACCTTCGCACACATATAGCTTACTTTGAACTTTAAAGCATTCAGGTTAATTCTAACAATCCGACTAGCGTACTCTACTTTTTGATGTCTAAGGAAGAAGAGCAAATATTTCAAGATTGTTAAAACAGGCTACTTAATATAAAAATATGTTTAAAGATCACGATGACAAGCTTTTTCAGGATTTAAGGATTAATAAACTCTAAATTTATAAATCTGTGATGGATTGCACACAAAAACAGGATTTTTAAAATGCTGGTTGTGTCAGAGTCAGGGAGTTCAAGAGTTAATCTTCCCTGGAGAGAAGAATTATGTGATTGGCTGTTCTACTTGCTCTCTGATCAGCCAGCATCAGCAGAGAGAGGAAATAAAACAGCTGATCTGGAGGGAAAAGAGGTCTTTTGCTATTTTGCCTTTTGGTCTTGGTCTGAAATCTAACCTCTGGATCAGTAGCCAGAGGGTTTGGCTTCTGAGGGAACAGACATTTGGGAGTCAGTGTTTTCTGACAAGCAGTAGTCAGAAAAGTACTTCTGCAGAGAGAAGAAGAGAACCCCCATTGTCTTAAATATATTAAAACTGCTCTGAGGCAGAATTTAGATTCTCAGTAGAACAGCCTTATACAGACAAAGGATACTTGAGAAGGATTTGGCAAAAGGTCTGGGTAGCCAGAGTGAACTTCCATACAAGCCAAATAGTAAAAGGAGTTACTGCTTCTTAGGGACAAGAACTTCTTGCCAGTGAAAGGGGCTGGGAAGAGAACCTTGGTCTGTGATAAAGGGGAGAAGCTTAGACACCTCAGGAGTTAATGAAAAGTTGTAATATCTAAAGGAAAACCTAGAACTCTGAATGGAGAAAT